AAATCTTTGGGTCATAAACAGTTTGAGTACGATTATCGTACTCAGACTTATATTTAGACCTATCAAAATGCTGGATTTGGTGTTTCGATCACAAATTTTGTACTCCGAGCTCTGAATAAAGTTTTATAACCTTAGGCCCTGGAGCTTAGACAGGGTAAGCATCTTCTGCTGTGCATACATTACCTGCATTACGAATTCCCACTCCGTCAGAATGTCACAATAGGGAACAGAACACAACTGGTTAGTTCTCAGAGCAGATTATGTTCAACAATGAAGTTCGCCATTGAAGATCAAAAACTTCTATATGGAGTCGACCAACGATTTAGGATGTATTGACTTGTAGGTATTATCTAGTTGATTTAAAGTTTCTATCTATTTATTATAGTTTTCAAGATAATAGACATACACTTCGATAACTGCAAACAAAAGAACATTTCAAGGGCAATAGCCCACAAATGAGTTGTCTAATTTCTCTGAAAAATTCAAGGTGTATAGATCTTGTTTTTCCTGTTGTTGATGTTTACCCTGTCAGTATTGCTCTTTCTTGATTAGTTTTTGAGATATGGACAAAAACTGTGGTTTTACTCTTTATCAGATCTATCTATAGTAACAGCAAAAGAACATTTCAAGGGCAATAGCCCCCAAATGAGTTGTCTAATTTCTCTGAAAAATTCAAGGTGGATACATCTTACTTTTCCTGTTGTTGATATTTACCCTGTCAGTATTGCTCTTTCTGGATTAGTTTTTGAGATATGAACAAAAACCGCGGTTTTATTCTTTATCAGATCTATCTATAGTAACAGCAATACAATTAAGGTATCATCCTGAAACGGTTGAGGTTCCCCTGATGATCTATGAAGGTATATGTTTTCAAAATACTTTCATATTGCTAAGATAACCAATAAACATCACACATTATGTGACAATCTTTAGTTAAGAATATAAGAGATGTAGTTCTCTTTATTGTTGTATATAAAATAATAAAAAAAACAATAACGTTTGTATTCAGTTTGACTGGAATGAAGAGGCATCATAAATTCAAAGAAATTAAGAGTTAACATTCATAAACAGTTAAATATAAAACAATCTCAGAAAGTGTAACTATATTTAGACATTTTGATTAATTAGATTTACACATGGCATAATTCTTCACTGCTTCCAAATTTTTTTTTCCAGAACAATGCATCTGGGAAAAACCTCTATGAATTTTTAAATAAAAAGTGCTTTTGATTTCAACATGATATGGCACTCAAATTTAATAATCTATCAAACAGTTTTATCAGAATTTCAAAATATTGACATAAATGTGATAAAGTTGAATGTGATTAATTGATGAAGATGTATAGGGCTTTTAGATTTATGATAGTTACGTCAGTTATACTCATAATTATCAATTATAAGTGAACAATTATGAAAATCTGTAGTAGCTTTAGTCATAAAATCATTTACATAAAAGGTTCAGATTTTGGCAATTAAACCAGTAAAAGACACGATAGTACTGCGATTCATATTGCCATACAAAAGCAGTGATAAGGTTTCAATTTGATAACAGAAAAATAAACGCAATTAAGATTACATTCCAAATCAATAACTATAAAACATCTTCTGAAAGTGTTACTGCACCGGGATAATTTGAGATAATGACACTATTCCTGTTTTATTAAAGCTAAACGTTAACGCTCTTTTTAGAACAAGAGAAAATATAAAATATTTATTTATTACTTTTATGTAAATCAGATGTAGTCGTCTCATATCAGATATGAGGAGACTACATCTAATACATACTACTAGAATATCAAAATACGATGCTTTGGTATGATGGTCAATGAGACAACTATTCATCAATGACCAAATGTGAACAATTATAGGTCACCTTACTACCTCAACTATTAGCAAACTATATGACAGACCCATGTATGACATAAATTGAAGAAGAAAAAAATCCAAAGAGAACATCAACAGCATAGCCTGATTTGTGTGAAAACAAAGAAACGTAAAATAATTCTAGCAAAAACCAAAGACAACTTCAAGATAACGAACTCCTGTCTTGTAATAGCCACTTAAAGAATTTGACGTGGTGAAACATGCCTGTGAGAGCTAAATCACCAACCTGTGACAGTGGTGTAACATTAAAACAATTATAGAAGAAACTATCAGTTATATAGGGGCTACCCTCATCAGTTCGATACTAATACAACACCGCCTGGTTGTCCTAACGCAAGGAATACAAGATGCACTTATGCTAATGACACTATCAATGTCTTAACAAACCAACTTGCTTTTTTTATTTGAAATATGTTATGACCAGAGAAAAGATACAGTTTTTATTAACTGTTTCTAAGTAAATTGAATACATTGCTTTTCTCATCTTTCCCATCAGATATTGAGATATTAAAATTTTAATATTCACATAGAAGTTTTATCATAATGACATTTATCAAAAAAATGGTATCGTTTCCCTAATACATGTTTTGGCAATTAAACCATAAAAATGATTAAATAGCGGTTCATGTACTAGATGCAGTCTTCTGACGCCCCTCAGATATGAGACTCCAACATCTGATTTACATGGAACTAATGACTTCATCTTTCACTTGTTCTAAAAATGAATAGTGTCATTATCTCAAAATTTTACAGATGCAGTAACACTATCAGAAGCTTTTTTATTTTATAGTAATGGATTCGAAATGAAATCTTAATTGCGTCTATTTTCTGTCATCAAATTGATACCTTATCACTGCTTTTGTATGGAAATATGAATCGCTGTCTTTTACTGGTTTAATTGCCAAAAGCTGAACTTTTTGCTGATAAATGATAACACTTCTATTTAAATGTCCATACTGTATGATGTAATGAGGTACCATAAACATGTAAGCCATTCCTACATATTTAACTATATCACATGCATACATGTAACTACATCAGGGAAACTTTAGTTTGATTTACATATGACAAAATTCTTCGATGTTTACTAACAAAGCTCTTGAAAATGAATCGGTTGAACCTTTCTTAATAACATTTTCACTAATGGATTTGGATGTATACAAGATATTACAGTAGAATTGATAGTCATAATGATCAATAATGTATCAAACAGCTTATAAGAAATAAAAAAAAATGAATATAGTTATAAATGTGTTTGATGTAATATAGTGTCATTAATTGAGAAAAAATTGTATATGATTGTTCAAAATTGCTTTTTGATGATACAAAATACTCTAATAGAATATAATAATTATCAATTATAAGTACAATGTTTTCAATTCTGTAGTTTTAGCTATTAATTTATAAATTTTTGCGTTAAAACTAATAACAGCGTCTGTTTCTATACACTAAAGATAATGACACAGTTTCTGTCCGATTATAACCAATTGCTTTCTGTTTAAGTATTTTCTTATCATAGAAAAAAATAAAATAAATATTATGTCTTTATTTATTGAATACATTGCTTTGGAGTTCAGTATTTTTGTTATACTTATTTTGGTTCTGTCATCTTTTCTTCGATCACTAACGTGACCTCGGATAGATAAGAAAAATGATTTTACATGTTCTATACATAAACTTCATTTATTAATATGTTAAGTATCCTCTATTTTAGACTTATAATAACAAATTTTATTACAGTAATAAACCACAACTAGAGGCGTTTGTAATACAATTTAAAACTAATTGCGCTTTTGGTTGGGAATAGTTTTTACAGAAAGTTTTGTTTGTCAGAATAGTGGCTATTCTGAATTTTCCCAATAACATTCTCTTATCTTTGTGACATGAAATAATGAATTTCGAACTGACTAATTAGCTCTTTTCAATCAAAGTTGATTAATTCACAAAAGAGAATGACATTAGATATTATATTAGTTATGATAGTATCGGGAATAATACATTCACTTCAAGAAAAATAATTCAAAAATACAAAATCTCATGATTTATCTTGTTTTAAAAAGCAACAAAAGCCTCGATTATCGAATGAAAACAAAATAAATGAAGACGTAACAAAAATCCAACATTGTATTTGTTTTATACTTGATTTTGGTGTCAGTTGGGGTGAGACTATACTCGACTTGGTGTAGAGGGAGGTCGGATGAAACTCGTATGTGTAAGTGGCTGACAAGTAATTTGTATGCTGTTCGTGTTTTTTTTAGGACTTTATCATACCACTAGGGTTTCTGAAATTGTCCGGTTACCTTTAAAATAAAAACACAAAGTTCTGTTCAGTTGGAATACACAGATCTGTTTTGTTTATTATTGTACAATACTAAATATCAAATTAAAATACAAATTAAAATAGTAATAATTAACAAATAACAATAAAGTTGTAAATAAATCAAATAACATTGAACAATTAAGCTTTCATTAAATTGATAAAATTAAAAGAGTACATCGTTTCTATTTTCAGATTACAGTTTAAAAATTTACTTTTAACCACAAATTCTTTCTCAATTTAAATGATTAAATCGTTACAAAAAATGTGTAAAGTTTACTAACCTTTAAAATAAAAACACAAAGTTCTGTTCAGTTGGAATACACAGATAGTACACCAACTGAACAAACTTGTTTATATAGTACCCGGAGAAATTATCCCATTAATCAAATAAAGTAATAAACGTCGGTACTAAAATTTTACATCTTTTAAGTGACCGTTGAATTACCCTTATTTAAACTCTTAACCTCCCCAATACACTTAAAAGTAACATGTGTAATGGGGTTTACGTAACATGGTCATTTAGTAATCTGAATAGAGTGTTAACTCACATCATAAACCCCACTGGCTAAATTTGTATATGGTCTATAAAATGTTATACATGGTCATTTATCTATGAACAAGTGCAACTAAACTATGTATACATTATATTTCAAACTTTGAAGAATATCTAATGAAAACTTCTCTATAATAATACTCCCCCACTCCATTTAATTTTGGAGCTCCAAAATTTTGGGGAAAAAGACAAATCAACAACACAAATAATTGAAATGAATATGTACAAATAAATTGAAGCATATAAAAGAAAAATATCTGTTTTTATTCTTAAAAAAAAATAAAATTGCGTTTCCAAACAACATATGTGGGTTGTTAGGAATATGGCTGATGTCCGTTGATATTGTATATATCGGTTAGACAAGTTGCTATGACCAAGATGACTGATTGCGTTTTAGTTATTCTTATTCGTGACTTTCTTATATGACCATATACATGCAGTATTTTATTTATGGTTTTTTTTTTCCAAAAAAAAAAAACAACAAAAAAAACAATTTGATCTTAAAAATATTTTTCATTTACAAATCTCTTAATTCTTTATTATAAGAGCGTTGGTGTTTTTTTTTATCATTATTATTATTGTTTCTCTATTACTATTGTGGTAAGCCCTCTTTTCTTGGTAGTCTGCTCGAACTCCAAACATACCTGAGTCATTTCCTCTCTATGGAGTATGCTCATTTTCCTGGGTATTTTGCTCCGACTCCAGAACTACCGCAAGACATACCCTCATTTTCTATTATATTACTTTAGTCAAATTTGTTGTATGTTTTACAATGGATAGTTTTCTAAAACATTTGATTACAGTTAAGATTTAACATTATGGATAAGGATTTGCCTATGCTAGAATAATATTGTGTTTGCTACAATCAAGGTTTTACATGATGACTAGCTAGGTCAACATATTTAACACTAATTTAATTAGGTGATCAACTAAAATTAAATTCTTATGATTAAACTAACATTAAATTCTTGCACACAGGAACCTTAAAACACATGTTTTACTCAACATTTTTATCGTAATCGCTCTAGAACCATTAAACACTTTAACAATCAACCAAGTTTTGTAATTCATTTTCACACGTGCATTTCTCTTTAAATGACTATTTATTTATTTATTTATCTATATTTGTTCCTTATAGGACAATGTGCCTTACCTCAACATTTTCTAATGTGGACGTTTTATATATTCCACATAATATCAAGTTTTTAAGTCTTTAAACAACCAACCTCTTCTTACATATTTGATTTTTGTTATGTACTTTTATCTTTTGAAGGTTAAAGTTTAGGGCATTATTTAAAGGCTCTCATATAAACAAGGATATATCTTCCTTTCCTTTTTACGTTTAATGAATTTGAACCGCCTAAACATTAGCGTCTAAGACATATTACATTTCAATATAGTTACTCTAAGTTACTTGTTGTTTTTGCTATTAAGTAAACTAAAAATATTTTTCTGATCATCTCATATTTCTTTATTTTTATTTTACATCAATCATCATCATTTTAGTATCTTAGTTGCCATTTACAGTCTTCCAAATTAAATGATTTTTTTTATCAACACTTTAAATAAAGATGTTTAGGCACTTAAATATAATAATTCATATTTCGTTTATCTCAATTTAGACATTTCTTTTTAAAATTTACCTTTATCAATGACTCCATTTTCAATTTAACCTAATTCTTACATACATTTTTTCTCACTTTAACTTACTTTCTATCTTTTTCACCTAATCGCTATTTTATCAATTTTAACTTTACTTTATTTTTTTTTCTAATATATTTTTTAACATTAACGTTAACTTACTTGCTATTTAATAATCAGCTTTTTTTTTACCATAGAACATATATACAATATATACACAAAGCGTGAAACAATAGTTAAATTTAAAATCCACTGTTTAGAATAAACGTCCAAAATTAAGCTCCGTCAGGGGCCACCTTTCTCCGTTCTCCGTACTCCTTTCTCCATTCTCCTTTCTCTGTTCTCCTTTCTTTGTTCTCCTTTCTCCATTTTTGGATCCGGGTGCTGGTGACAGCGGGTGAAATCCTTTGAGGTTGTTCATGCTTGGTTTGGTTGTCCTGGTTTTTCTACCACTTTTAAGCTTTTTCCACCGGAAATCGTTTTCTTTTCCTCCACCACTTTTTATACTTGATTTTGGTGTCAGTTGGGGTGAGACTATACTCGACTTGGTGTAGAGGGAGGTCGGATGAAACTCGTATGTGTAAGTGGCTGACAAGTAATTTGTATGCTGTTCGTGTTTTTTTTAGGACTTTATCATACCACTAGGGTTTCTGAAATTGTCCGGTTACCTTTAAAATAAAAACACAAAGTTCTGTTCAGTTGGAATACACAGATCTGTTTTGTTTATTATTGTACAATACTAAATATCAAATTAAAATACAAATTAAAATAGTAATAATTAACAAATAACAATAAAGTTGTAAATAAATCAAATAACATTGAACAATTAAGCTTTCATTAAATTGATAAAATTAAAAGAGTACATCGTTTCTATTTTCAGATTACAGTTTAAAAATGTACTTTTAACCACAAATTCTTTCTCAATTTAAATGATTAAATCGTTACAAAAAAATGTGTAAAGTTTACTAACCTTTAAAATAAAAACACAAAGTTCTGTTCAGTTGGAATACACAGATAGTACACCAACTGAACAAACTTGTTTATATAGTACCCGGAGAAATTATCCCATTAATCAAATAAAGTAATAAACGTCGGTACTAAAATTTTGCATCTTTTAAGTGACCGTTGAATTACCCTTATTTAAACTCTTAACCTCCCCAATACACTTAAAAGTAACATGTGTAATGGGGTTTACGTAACATGGTCATTTAGTAATCTGAATAGAGTGTTAACTCACATCATAAACCCCACTGGCTAAATTTGTATATGGTCTATAAAATGTTATACATGGTCATTTATCTATGAACAAGTGCAACTAAACTATGTATACATTATATTTCAAACTTTGAAGAATATCTAATGAAAACTTCTCTATAATAATAGGTTACAAACATTTAACTGATTACCATTGACGGAAACCAAAATGCACAATTTTCACTCAGTTCATTGATAGGGGAAAAACTCTGTTAATCCATTAATATATCCTCCAGAACAAGAAAATAGTTACAACAGATACGACTTCCTCCGCCTCATTTCTAGACGTATACCTCGAATTTGACATAAGCGGTCATCTCAGTACCAGAATCTATGACAAACGAGAGGATTTTTATTCTGAAATTATCAATTTCCCCCACCTTAGTAGCAATATACCTGCATATGGGATATACATTTCCCAACTCATTCGGTATTCAAGAGCTTGCAGCTGCTACTCAGACTTTAAAAAACGTCACCAGTGACTGAGCAGAAAGTTGATGAACCAGGGTTATGTCAAAGAACGTCTCGTCCTTTCTCTAAAAATGTTCATCGGAGGATATCAAGACCTTGTTGATAAATATTCAGTATCAACTTCACAAATAATACATGATGGTCTTGAAGTATAGATTCTAGGAACTGACGTTGTTTATCATATTTATTACTGTTATAGTGTTCTTTTATTTGTCTTTGTATATTATTAACGTTTACTGTGTAGTCCATTTTTGGTAATATTCTTTTGGCGTGGCTCGGTACTTATACATCCCGCCAATTCGTTATTGTGCTATGGTTATTTTTTGTATTCTTGTCTTTCATTTCTGCTTATGTGCTTTGTCTATATGACATTTTGTTTTTCTTTGTTGGGATATTTGTTTGATTTTATAGTTATTAAGATAATAACACAACATTGACTGCTGTACCCCTATTTTTGACATTTTTACCTATTATGTCTGTTTATTTTGTTCACACATTGTTGTCAATATAATAAACCCAGGTTTAATCCACCATTTTCTACATTAGGAAATGCCTATACAAAGTCAGAAATATGACATTTGTTTTCCAATCGTTTGATGTGTTTGAGATTTTGATTTTGCCATTTGATAAAGGAATTTCCGTTTTGAATTTTCCTTGGAGTTCGGTATTCTTGTTATTTTACACTTTATCCTATATTCCAAAATCATTGGATATTTGATATCAATCAAATCACAAAAAAATTAGAATTATTCAGTGAAAGGACATCATTTTAGAGCAGAATATGAAGTTGAAGACACTTATCAGCTTGTATTTATTTTTCACGAGATGTTCCCGTATGAAGTAGCTTCATAAGAACACAGAGAAAAGTCGACAAAAGAATATCAATTATCTGTTAAAAACGCATGCTGCAAATGTTTAAACTATATCTTATCGATAAAAAAAAATATCAAGTATTTTGATGATGTCAGTTTCAGAGAACTTTTGTTTCAATCAGAGTATTATATGGTGTTTTTCTTTTCTTTTTTACAAATTTGGTTTGTCCTTTCCTTCGACAAAGATATTTGTATCTGTGTTTGCCATTCTTTATTTATGAACTAAAGATGGACAATTTACTATCAATCTGGAATAAAAAAGTACATGAGTAAAGGACAGAAAAGTCTATTGCTTTATACTATTGCACAAGAAGAGAGAACTATAATTATATGTACTCTACCAGTAGTACCAGATCATTGGAAAATGTTTGTATCCACATTTGATTTTAAAACATCGCCTCTAGAGTCGGTAGTTTCACAATAACTCTAAAGCTCGGTTTGGATTGTTTATAAATTTGGGGTTTATAATTTGGAAAGTTTTCAGGAAGCATCTGACAGACAGTGCAAGATAATTTTATTATAACGGATACTTATATAATTGAGTATCCAGTAAATTCAAGAAAATTCAAGTACTTTTTTTTTATCTTTGGTTGAAATTCCAAGGAAAATAAAACGAACCTATATATAAAAAAATAAGGAGATATGGTATGATTATTACTATGATGAGTCTGACCTTTTTATACTATGATGATTCGCTATTTGGCAGTTTCGAAGTAAGTAGAATGTTCCACAACTGAAAATAATCACATGAAGAGTTTAGTTTTTAGAAACAAAATTCGTACGACAGATATCCGGGTATAGGATAGACAAAATAAATATTAGCAGGTTAAGTCCGGTGAGTTTGCGTTCAGTAACTACAAGTATTATCTCTATTGTTTAGTATTGTTATGGCACCCTCAACGGAGTTGGGGTGACGTATTGTTATTCTACGTTTCTTTTTTTTTTCTTACTTTTATTATTCTTCTTCCACACATTTTGTCCGTCGTGTTTCTGGGAATTTAATGGACCAATGTTGATGGAACTTTACTATAATGAGGACCCCCATGTAAAGTTGTGCACCTTGGTATGGAATGGTTCAAGATGGCTGCTGTTTCCATGGAAACAGCAAAAATGCGAAAAAAATCAAAGATTCCTTAATTGAACGAAACTTCATAGAAATGGTAACTGGCATGTCCTGATTTGCAGTTTGACTTCGGAATTTTCAAAATGGCCGCCGTTACCATAGAATCTGCAAAAAATGTCCAAAATTACAAAATGCTCAAAACTTAATGAAACTTTACAAAAACGTTAATCAACATGTGTAAATGCACTCTTTGACTTTGGAATTTTCAAAATGGCTGCCGTTACCCTGGCAATGGGGGAAGGGTGCCATCTGTTATTGCTAGCAATTACAAATCTAGTTTTGAATGGACTTTTTTTTTACAAATCATCGTGAATTTAGAATTCAGTGTTGTAATTGTTTTATTTTGTTCATGTACATCTAGTTATTCCATTGACCAAGTTTAGATGGGGAAGGTTGAGATCTTAAAAATGTTGAAATATTGTTCATATTGGAATCAGTTAAATGCTCGTTATTGAAGATGTAATAAGAACCCAGTAGGGAATATTGCCTTAATTAAGCTGTTTATATTGCTAGATTATTTTGAAAAATAAGAAAGAAGATATTATGGTTGGAATTAGAAACATTGTCGAAAATAGACAGACAACACCATAGCAAAAAGAGAAAAAAGACGGAAACGACAAACAACAAATTACATATCACTACACAAATACAATAGATTGAGCAACACGAAACCCCGAATAAAAAGCAGTGTTGAATTAAAGCGTCCCGAAAGGTCAGGAATTCCTGCTATTCTAGGAATCTTGTCAGCGATGAATACGCATGTCTCTTTACATATATTCTTTCTGCATACAAAGCATAAAATTACATTTTTTCTTAACACAAAACAATTCAAAACTTGCAATACTGATAGGCTTTTGTGAAACAAAGCTGAGGGGCATGAGGGTTATTGTATTTGAAGGTGGCAAAGCAAATTGTTTTCACTTAATCGACCCCGTTCTTATTCCATTCTTTTACACCTCAAAATTAGTATACGCTGCCTATGGCACAGTTATTTTTTTTTCAGACATGCTAACTTTCCCAGTTTACTTTTGGCATGTTTGGGGTTTCCTCCATTATATAAACTGATTACACGAAAACATGCGTTCAAAATAATCAAAACTGCATTGAAGCACATGTGTACTCTTTCAAAACAAACGTACAAAAGATTTATAAGACACTTGTGACGGGTGTAAAAGATGTATAAGATCATCTTGTGCCTAAAAACCAGAATGGTGATTTTGATACGTAGAATAGTATTAAATTAATTAACTACCCACTACATGTTTGATTCTGATGAATCTTTGTTGTAGGGACACGTCTTTTTTCCCCGTTGACCCAGTTTTATGTTGAAAAATATATAAGAAGCCCATAAATAACAGGTTCAATGTTATTCATGTTTTAACACATTATCTACTGAACGAGTAAAAACTGTTATTTCCTAAATAAGGTTAAGCTAGAGTATCACTAAACGTTGCACAAGTTAATGTTGAAAAGTAGAGGATGTTAATAAAAATAACGAGCCATTTCAAGGTTGAAGAAACTGCTTTCTAATAAAATATTGATAATAATATATAAGATAACACTTGTACAGATATCCCATGTCGACTTTTTGGTGAATTAAACAGTATGTTTGGTACGATTGCACTTGAGATTTTTATGATTTATTAAAACATGCGATGATTTTTTAAAAAGAGATAATCACTTTGACCCTGAAATATGATTTTGGTGATAATTTGTTTCATTCTTGTAGGATTTTAAATCGAAGACTGAAGTGCAGAGAGAAATCTAAGTTGTATGCTTCACGTAAGTCATTATTTTTGTTTTATTTCATAGAAAATGTATTGTCATATCTGTTTTGTTTTTATTTCAGACCAATTGACCCTTTCATTAACATGATAAATTGTGTGTCTAACTAATGTGCTTTATTATTAACATTGCTGTACTACCAGATATACTATCAACTTAAACAGAAATACGAAGATAAAATAAAAAAGTATAATAGAAAAACTCCAGGGTAAATTAAATAAGGGGGAATTCCATAAAACCTGACAAAACCAAACGTTAGACTATATCAACCGACAAAAACGAATGGAAAACAAGTGTCATATTTCTGACTTGGTACAGGAATTTTCCGAAGAAAATGGTGGTTTAACCCTGGTTTTATAGCTATCTAAACCTCTGACTTAATTATATTTTGTCAGTTAATCATTCATCCAATGCAACTTATGTTGCTCCTTATTTGTGTTTTGAATTTTCTTATAGCTTTAGTTTAAACTTTATATTTTTATGCATGATAAGCTTAGAGTCCTTGTCCATTTGTCTTGTATTCTAATCTTTCCATTGATTGCGTGATTCTCAAATTTCCTGAAATTCTTTTTTTACATTTTTAGTTCTAGTTTTACAGATGTCCTAATTTGAGAGACCGCAATGGCATATCTTTGTCACAGATGCCAATTGATATGTAAAATAGTCGTATCCCAAATCCTGTCCTCCTTACAAATCTACCCCTTTCGTGATATCATATTGCGACGTTCCACTGGATTTTCTTGTCATGTTTAACAGGATGGGTGCCACTTGTGGAACAAGAATTTCTAACTCTTATGCAGCACTTGAGTTTATCCTTTATTTGGAATTGTATTTAACTT